AAGATTGTTTCGAATTTGCTTCATTTTGTTTTTATATAGTTAAATTTCTGATTGGTACAGATGTACTAATCAGAATGTTTATTTAATAATAAAATATGAAAATAATTGATGAATTTAAAAGAAGATAAAATGAATAATTTAATTTAATTTGTTTTCTTTTTTTTGTTACCACCGTTTAATTTTTTCTCATAATGCTCTAACTTATCAAGAGCGATTTTTGCACCAGATTTAGGTCCTTGCAGTGTGGTAGTTCGCCATTCTTGGATTTCATCGAACGATTCATGATCTTTTTCTTTAGGAAGAATTCTTTCGATACGAGAAAAAACAGTTTTTCTTGCTTCATAATAATTCTTTAAATCTTGTATAAATTTAATACGATCCGAAAGAAGAGGAAACGCCTCAACATATGCATCTTCATCAACTTCGGTGTTGAGTTGCCAATTTGATAAATCGAGATAATAATTGTAATCTTTTTTAATCATTATTATCATGGTGAAGAGTTCTTCGACTTGATCGAATGTTCGTTTGACTGAAGTAGAAGAGAAGGAGAAGTAGACATATTTAAAAGATTGTTACGTAGTTAAATTTCTGATTGGTGCAAAAGCACTAATCAGAGTATTGGTTTAATAAAAATGATAATAAAAATAACATGAAAACAAAAAAAAAATTTAAACATTTTTTAAAAGAATTTTCTTTTTAATTATTTGTAAAATTTTTTCTATGACTTCAAAAATTTCAAGATCCAATGTGTTAATTTCTTTTGAAACCTTTTTTAAACAATTGATTAAAGGTTTAGAGACATTATCACGTGTGATGACATCATATAAAATATTTTGAGGATTTTCATCAACTAATTGCATCACATGTCGACCAAGACGCGTCTCAAAATCAGCTGATAATAAAATTTTATTGGTTGTTACATCTCGTCCAACTACAACAAATCTCTTTTCTTTCGTTAATTTCTTGATTTCTTGATTAATTAACGATCGTATTTCTCCATCTTTTGAAAGTTCAGATGCTTTTTGAGAAATATCGAGGGAAGAAAATATACTAGAGTTGGAACAGTTAATTAGAGTATCATAAGTATGTCGATTAAAATTTGTCGAATTAATATTGTAGTAAGCTAAATAGCGATAAAATAAACCAGAATCGATAAAATTAAAATTTAATCGTTTTGCTAAAGAATAGCCAATAGAAGTTTTTC